ACGTGAAAGAACTCTAACCTTGACTTTGAAAAACTGACGTGGACATTTTTCGCGTACTTTTTGTTGGTTTTCGCGGAGTTTTAGTTGTTTCTGAGCTTTCATTCGCGTAAATTTGTTACCCCTTTGTTTGGAATTTTAAGTGTTGGATTTTTTATTTTAGTCAACTGTTGTGGTTCATTTTACAAGTTTAATACATATTTTCTACGGAGTTTGGACGCTAGCCTCTTTGTTCGTAAATGAATTTTTACAATAACTATCATACGCCAAAGCAATTTGCGAAAAACTGGGAGAGACAAAAAAATTTGATCAAGCCTTACCTTGAAACGTCGTTTGTACGACTTAAGCTGCGTTTTAAGAGCAACGACTTCTCTTTGATGCTGAGATGTTCTGAAAAGGAAGAATATAGAAGGTGAACCTGCATACAAGGTACTGTAAGGTGCAACGGGATCTTATGAGTCCAGAGTAAAATGGACAAATTACTCTTGATCGTGTAGTCTGCTCGTCCGGGTGAGTGTAGTCCCAAGAAGAACTGTTGTCGGTAGTAGTGACTAACGTTTCGACAACTTGAGCGGTAGTCATCATCAGAGTCCAGTGAATAGTTGTTGTCAGTTGAGTGTTATAAGTCGGGTTTGTGTAAACTGATTGGTCAGTTTAACCGTGATGTTATTGGCTATAAGATTTACGTGGCGTAAGTCGGTCCTGATCGATTAGTTTCGGTAATGTCAAGTCTTTCTGTTCGGTTCGTTTGTAGCGTAAAAGTCGTGAAAAAGTCGTCTTGCGGGATATTGTTAGTACTGTAGGTTATGCATTGCACAGACTCTCAGTTTATAGCGTCAAAACGTCGGTCACCACTGCCGACACCAGTTCCTCTCAGGACTACACTTACCCGAACGATCAGACTAAATGATCACATGTTACCATGTTACCACATGGTATACTTACCTTTGGTCGTTGGCTTCTAGCTTAGCTTCGAGGACTTTTTTCGCTTCCAGAGCTTTACGAGTTCTACGTTTTTCCTACATTAAAAGCAAACAGAAGTCATTTAAAAGGCATCATAAAGTTACCAAATTTTTGAAAAAGTCTTCATTCTCACCTCTTCGATCTCTACACGAGCATCATCCAACCGTTTTTCCATCTCTGCGATCTAAGGCAGTAAAAAGTTTAAGTTAGCGGAACATGTACACCCGATTAAGTATCAGTTCTACTCTGTCTGTGAGACATGCGCGTTGTACCTTCGCTCCGAGCTTTGTTCTTGACCTTACTTCCGATTCCCACAGTTCCTTGTGCTCTTCGGCCTCTCTCTCATGTTGGGTCCGAGAGAGCGTCTCAGACTGGAAAACAGACATAAAAAGCAATTAAGTCTGTAACCTGAAGTTGGTAACTATTTTTCTGAGGTTAAAAGAGGGAAGTTTCGTTCATTGCTTGCAATCCGCTCCAATCTTCTCCATCCTTACCTATTCCGGTTCTCTTTTAGTTTGGTATTGCTTCTTAAGACTTCTTCTAGCTTCTAAACAAGTATTACGTGGTCCTTTCAGTTGAATATAAATTTAAATGCCGCAAAAGTGCCTCCTTTAAATCTTACGAGGCGTCATATCTTGTCTGCTGTTGTAAGTGCTATGGCCCATTACAGAACACGCAGTAGAATCGAAGCCTCAATCAACTACAAGCTTGCGAAACACACGCGGTTTCATTGCATTTGCAATTTCATCGTTCGTTAATACGGATACGAACAAACGTTATCATACCTGTAATTTGTTTTCAAGCTCAACAGAGTCTCCTTTTACATTGGACAACAATTTCTCCAAGCTTTGTCGCGCCTGTTATTGGGAATAAATTAAAAACGATTAGTCAAATGCACAGACCTACGCTCTCATAAACGAACAACGAAACAAATGGACGAAGAAACGAGGAAACAACGAAGATTTGGACGAATGAACGAAAGACAGACCGAACAAACGACTGACCAAAAAGCGACCGAGCGACCGGGCGACCAAGCGAACGAATTAATGACCGACTGAAAAACAACTGACCCGATCGACCGACCGACCGACCGATTGGCGGACAGAAGGAAATAATGTTCGAAACGAAATTACCAAGTGCCTCTTCGTTCACTGTTTTTAGTCCAAATTGGAACTCAGTTCTCTTTTCTTCTCACTATAACATGTTCCAAAAGAAGTGTAGGTAATTGATGTCACTTTTTAATGAGAAAACATGAATCCAAATCAACATTAACAAAGCAGCATACGGCACCTTATATTTAAACTTGGGAACGGCGTCACGCGTTCGAAAACTAACTTTCTTCCTCTCTGAACCTCGACAGAGGAATAAAACCAGATTGTCGTCATATTTCACTGGGATTTTTCCAGTTCGGCCGGTTTTCTCCGACATTAAAAACTATTACTTTCCGCTCGGGATCACACCGACGAAATGCAGAATAATGCTCACGCAAGACAGATGAATCATTGTTTCTTTAGTGGTTAAAATCCTCCTCGCGTCTTAAAGTATTTTCGAGATTAGCGTCGGGTGAAAATTGGGGGTCATAAGTTTTTAATGAGCAAGAAAAATGGTAATGATTGGTTTAAATAGCACACGACGCGATTAATATGTATAATTAATACTTATGCACAATGATTTTCGAAACCTCAAGATAAGACAACTGATACTCACCATTAATAAATCAAATTCGCATTTAAATCACGAGACAAACGAGAAAATGTACACTAAGCTTACTCAAAACACGATCCATGCAAATCTCAAAATTAATTGATCTCACCATGGACAGCACATCTATTATTGCATTCGCTCCTCGGCTCCACTGTTCAGTTTTATACAACGCGGTAAAATTAAATCTTTGAGCGGATTTTGATTTCGATGCCAGTTAAAACCGATTTCAAAGAAAGATTTATGATTATTGAAATATCAGACAGTTTTTTCCCCACAAGTCAGTACAAAGAAGGATTTTCGCTCTGCTAACGTGGCGGAAAGCGAATACATTTAATAGAATGACGTCAAAAGGGGAAAATACAATCAAGCCGACATGTTTACCTTTCTGAAATAGCGAGGAAAAATTTTCAGTAAGAGAAAAAAAAAATAATAGATTTAAATACGAAAACGATATAATTGCTCCACAGTAAAGTACTGAATTACGCTGTCGCGATATCTGAACAAAGATCATTCTATTACGATTTAAAAGAAAGTAAAAAATCCTCACCAAAAAAAGGTATAAAATAAAGTGCAAACTAAAACAGCTTGCATGCAAAAAATGATAACACGATAACAATTTTGCTCAGAAGTTTAAGACTGTCAGTGTATTATATGCTCATTATTTAGAACAACCCATCACAATGTGACGACAATTTTCTCTTAATGGTATTTTTTTCTGTAATTTCACCGACGAGCTATTTCGTTTTTTCATTTTTAACGAGAATATAGTGATTGATCTGTGACCAAAGTCAAAGATAATTCTTTGCGTTGGTTCGCTATATCTTTCAGAAGCAAAATCTAAAAAAAAAGTTTTATCAATACAAAATGTATGATTAAATCTGGATTATTTTTTTTCTATTTCACTGGAAATGCTGATAGCCTGACTATACAGAAGTAAACGCCTATCTTTGACAAGCAAGCGATCAATATGTTCACACAAAACATTTGGCTTCCAAAATATTCTCAAAGCAGAGAGATAAGGTAAAAAAAAAAAAAAATTCTACAGTGTCAGCCGCCAGCCACTTATAGTTTTACAAAGGAATTATTTTTTTGCTTGGTAGCCAGGCAGAGGAAACGGTCTAATTACGTCACAACATGGCGGAACACCCCTAAATCAAAGGGGTTTTATTACAAACAAAATATATGTCGGTGCTGACCTCGTTAGCATCCTTCACTTCTCTTAACAGCATGCCACACTTTGCCTCTTCCTCTCTTAAAGAAGATTCCACTTGAGCCTTTTCTACTTTCAGTTTTGTCACCATTTTTTCCAGCTGAGCCTGTCAAAGGAAGAAAATCAAGGACGATTGTGAAATAGTCCGGCTTCCTTCTAGTTCCCTTAAAATGAAACGCTTAGAAAAACACTTCGATGGTTTAAAAAATTGAGTATGTCTCTCTTAAAAATCACTGATCAGAATGTTAGGAAAACTGTTGAGATAAACTACGAGCATGTTTATCTCAACGTTCGTTTTCAATTCGTAACGAAAAGCGTTTGTCTCGGTAATACAAATGCACAAATAAAACAATTTAAGAAAAGTAGTCTTGAAGCAAATAACCGAAATCCAAAATAAAAAAGGAAAGTTTTGAGAAGCTGCGTAAGGGTCGAGATGTTTGAAAGTTCTTTTGTCCAATATCCCGAGTTCTTCGTACAACAAAGTTGATCTGATTTTTCAGTTCATACGGTGTAAGTCTCCTGAGGAACTTTACAGCTGAAGGTAATATTCCTGGAGACCGTGGAACAAAATAAAGAGCGGAAAAAAACCTTCACAAGTACCAAGTTGTTTTGATACATCTTCTAGAATCCAATTGTCGTCGAAATGATCTTCGGCTTGTTTTTAAGAAATTTTGGAGCCACAACTAGTTTTTTACCACGACAGAAATTTCGCCACGTTCGCTCCTTAGACTTAAATATTAATATTCTTTACTCAAGTAAACATTTATTTTCTACAGTCCTTGATCAATGTGGAAATAAATTAAAATAACAAAAACTATTTTTTTTTCAGGACCTATTATACATGTAGTCTTATCACAACACTTTAGGAACCCACTCCCTCCAGTTAAACAATAGTTGTCGCCTGCTCTGGTCACCAATTTTTGCCAAAAATCTTTGTTAAATTTAGAACATAAAAAAAGCTTTTAAGACCTGATTTGTTGAATAGCTTGAGGTGGCTGTATCTTTTTTTTAAAATTATTTTTGCCAATAAGCTGTTAACGAAATAAAACCGAACGCAATTTCAACGCCCGCTTTCCGATATTTTTAACATGTTCAAGATCTTAGACTCCTGAGGATTTGAATGAAAGAGATTGTTGTAAGTTTTTTTTTTTTTGCCTAAGGGGAGAGTAAATCGAGAAAAGGTTTGTTACGGATTCACAGCATGTGGGACTTAAAAATGGTTTAACCAAAATTATTTCATATCGGGCCCAAATACATTTTCATTCTTAACTAGTTATCGTCAAACATAAACCTCAAGAGTAAAGCACCTTTTTTTAGAATTGAAAACGAAATTAATTAGGAAAAGAGACAAAACAAAAAGCTATTTTTTTCTACATCAGGTATAAAATTTGATAAAGAAAGTGCATTTGAGAATTTTCAATGTTTTTTTTATCAATATTTGGTGAAATATCGTTTCCTTAAGGGGCAAACTTGTATTGATTAAATCTGTTCCGGCTACAAATGAAAACAGCTTGAAATCTGCAACAAAATATAATTTCTGCGGCAGTGAAAGCTTTAGGCAGTTAAAACATCGTTAGTTTCTCAAGTAAGTGGGCTAACGATTCGAAACTTCGTCATCAACCTTAATGATAGAAAACATGCAGCTAATAGTCTTATGTGTTTTACTTCAATGAAATGGTAATCACTTTTGCTTTCATTTTACGATAATTTAACAAAAATTTGAATATAAATTAAAAAATAGGATTTTTTATAGAAAAAAAGATACAGCGGCAAAAATATTGTTTAACAAGTTATATTTTTTATCAGATTAAATTATATTTACAAATGAATAAGTTAATCATAGAATGTTATACCGGTTGTTCGCCATCCTCTTCAACAGACTGCGAGAGAAAAAGGTAATGAAATGAAACAAGCATATCAAACAACAGAAGTTAAAAATTAAAAGTTTAAGTCCTGGTTATTATGCAGATTACTTCGTTAGCTGGCGGCTGAAGACAATACCTCCTTAATGTTTAATAAGTTGCGGTTTTTTTTCTTTTGGGGTGGAGGTGTGGGTGTCACTAGTTTGAAACCAATGACGTTAACTATCGCGCCGTTGTAAATGATTGACTGCGTGGAGGGCAAAATGCTGTGTTGTAGACTTGTATTTACATCTTTTTAATTAAAAGGAAGATCTATGAGTATCAAATCTTCAAAGATTTCTTGGACCTTTTAGTTTAAATAGTTAATAAGTATTTTATGGCTATACGTCATTAGCCTTTTAACATTATGGTAGAGCCTTTCTCTGGTGAAAAGCATCTTCCCCACTAGAGATCAACAGCTGACGGTAAGAGTTTGGAGAAAGAAAAAAAACCGTTTTGTGCTCTAAATAGCGTTGACAGCAACATATGTGCTCAACATGTTTGGCGGCGCA